TTTTATAATCATATCTATCACATTATCAGGCAATGCTTCACCATGTTCATCCTTGCACATAATTCAAAGGAAGCTGAATTTCATTTACAAGATTTGTCTTATCTTAGCTGAAGAGCTTTTTTTACTCAAAAAAAAAAAAAAAAAAAAAAAAAATTGACCTCAACAGAGCACTCAGTTTCCAATTTCTAGAAATGTGTATGCATATACAAGTGAATCACTACCTGCCCAAAATTAGGCCTCTCAAGTTTTAGCAATAAATTAAAATTTTCCAAAGTGAAAAGAAATGTTTACTTTGAAAATCAGGTCCATTTAGGAAATTTGAAATACTGGATGTATGCACATTGATAAATATTACATCAGGCTATTTCATAGAATCATAGAATCACCGAGGTTGGAAAAGACCTAAAAGATCATCCAGTCCAACCGTTCAATATTTGTTGCAACTGTGGAAGGTCCACATTTCCTATACCTCTGAAGCTTATCAGTAGAACCCATGCTGCAGTTAAGAAAAATATAATTTTATTTTTGATTGCTTTTTGATTGAGAAATGATTAGTGACTGCATATCTAGAAGCTCCTCTGTCAGATAGTTTAAATAATTTTAGGTTATTTGGGAAATTAACAACTGAAGCACAGAAATGTGTAACCAATATGGTCATAAAAGTAGCTAAGGAAGAAGAATCTGCATTTCATCACCTCTGGTTTTTGGCTGAGCAATACTACAGATGGTTATCAGGGCTTGTCTTAGCTATACCCTTAGTTTTCTGGATAAATATTGATTTTAAATACACAATTTTAGCAATACTACCTTCCATTGCATATATCATTGATGACTAACAGACACCAAAGAGCAAAGAAACTGAAGAAGTGACACATGCCTTGTTGCTCCACTGACAATATTTTTTGTAAGTTGATGGAAAGAAAAGGCCACCATGAACTGCCTTCTCACATTAGAGTTCTTATAGTACATATCCAAAATGTGTTACTCAGGAACATTCTGCATGGAACTAAGAAAAAGACAATTTTTTTTCTTACATCTACTACCATGAAGGTAGTGTTCACACCTGGGTAATGAAAAATGAGTTGAACTTTTCTTTTGAATGAAACAGTCCACTTGTGAGTGCTCTAGTATAACCAATCATGATCACACTCCCCAGCATCTGGCAGAGACAAAAGTACAGAATAAACACTATGTGAAATTTTGTAACAGGTGTTATTATTGTTGTTCGATCTGATGATTTTATACCAGAAATTTTAGAAGTTTCAAGTATTCTGGGAAATTTCAAATAGTTTGTTGACTCTGCTGCCTTTTCTCTCTTTTTCTTCTAAGACAACTATTCTTTGTGCTATTAATCTAATTCTGTATACCTTGAAAAACTGAAGAGCATGTAGTTCACATAGCAATCAACTCACTTGATTTCATATAATATTTAGGAAAATTTGAAAGCTGGAAGCTAGTCTCATGTATTACATTGGGACAGATGGAATTTTTATTTTCCAACAATATAAATCTCTGGAAGACACAAAGTTTAGCTGGCTACAGAAAATGTAAATCAGCAATGAATCTAGTCAAATATTTCATTTTTTCTTTTCTCAGTATTTATGCAATGTGAGAACTGTTACCTTTGAGGAGACTTAACATTGATCGCTCTCCAACTGGAATGAGGACAAATTAGTTTACAAATGAGCACAATGTTTGGGTTAGAAAGAATGCATCTTTGATAGATGAGTTTATATTAAAAGGATAAAGATGACCTGGACTTTCAAAGAAAATATTACTGTAGGGAGAGAGCAAACCATGCAGCCAAAGGATTGTGGTAAATATGGTTTTGCACTGTAATTGCCATCAATGAGTTGAGCCTATATTTCTACTAGCACGTAAACTTATGAGATCCATTTCTAATATCAGAATAATTTAAAAGGAAAATATTACAAGATTAATAGCAATATTTTCAATTTTCAAAACAGTAATTCTAGAAGTTCCACTACAACTTTGTTCACTGATGCTTTCTATGCTTGCTCTAGTCAGCTTATGGGCTGATCTCTCATCTTCACATTCTACCAAAAAGCCCATTAAAAAAAAAAAAAAAAAAAAAAAAAAAAAAAAGGGAGAGAGAGAGAAAAGATGTTAAAGGAAAAGAATAAAGAAATACTACTGTATGACTTCTTAGTACAGGAATGATAAACCTGTATTTCCTATGGTCACCAGCAATTTTTTTTTTTAGTATCAATTCTGTCTATCTGTATATGAAATGCTAACTGAACGCTTTCAGCTCATAATTTCAAACCAGTATTCCTGCAGACACGACACTTCAATGAAGGGGAAGAAGTTTCTAAATACACAGTGACTGCATGATCAAGCCTGAATCAGGACTTCAATATTATGCGGATAATTTTAACTTACCTTTATGTATAATCAAAAACTGCATTTACTAACACATCAAAAGCCCAAAGCATTAATAAATTGCAAAAGTGAAAAGTGTTAGAAATTATTGTAAGAACAAAAGAAAGTTTGGGAAATAATCCTTTTTTTTTTTTTTTTTTTTTTTTTTTTTTCTTCAAAATCATTCAATTTTATGGGTCAGGTGAGAGAACAGACAGTGCTTGTTTTGAGATTCTGTTCTTACCTAAGCAATCTCACTTCAGGGGCTATCCAGATTGTATGCAATATGGAGAAGGGAGTGCAGGTATCTCAGTAGGAACAAGAGTGAAGGGAAATAATTTGTGCAGTTGAGGAAAGTTTTAGATTAAATGAGAGGAAATTATGAACCTTAAATTAATTTTATCCATGCTTTTTTCTAAGTCAAATGTTAGGATGACCACACAGGATGATTCTTTATTCAGGATATAAAAATTTATTACTGTGCACTGCCCTAGTGAAATTTGCAAGAAAGTGTATTAATTTTTTTGTGAAGCAAAACATTCCTATTAAGTTCTACCTGTTAGAGCCGTGCTTTCTCTGAAATTATTTTAATTTCAGATTGACAAAACTCCCACTTCAGCTAGTGGAGTGAAGCACAACCATTTCCATCCACTTAAAAACTCAGTGCAGGAATCTTGAAGGCCCAAGAGAAAGAATTTTGCATTTCTCTCTTATTTTTATTCTTCTTTCTTTTTTATTATTATGAGCACAAAACCTTTAAAATGTAAATGTAAGCACTAATAAGGTTTACTATTATAGAGGATAATGAGAAGTGACTGTTGAATATTCTATATTCTTAAAATGTTTTGATTTAGCGCGGTGAATTCAAAACACCACAGTAGCATCCAGAGTGTAAACTGATTGTACTTACTTATGTCAAAAGAAAAGAAAAGAAAAGAAAAGAAAAGAAAAGAAAAGAAAAGAAAAGAAAAGAAAAGAAAAGAAAAGAAAAGAAAAGAAAAGAAAAGAAAAGAAAAGAAAAGAAAAGAAAAGAAAAGAAAAGAAAAGAAAAGAAAAGAAAAGAAAAGAAAAGAAAAGAAAAGGAAAAGGAAAAGAAAAGAAAAGAAAAGAAAAAGGAAAAGAAAAGAAAAGAAAAGAAAAGAAAAGAAAAGAAAAGAAAAGAAAAGAAAAGAAAAGAAAAGGAAAGAAAAGGAAAGAAAAGGAAAGAAAAGGAAAGAAAAGGAAAGAAAAGGAAAGAAAAGGAAAGAAAAGGAAAGAAAAGGAAAGAAAAGAAAAGAAAAGAAAAGAAAAGAAAAGAAAAGAAAAGAAAAGAAAAGAAAAGAAAAGAAAAGAAAAGAAAAGAGAGAGAGGCTAAATAAATAAATAAATAAATAACAAGGTAGGGACACCTCCCCCCTTCCCCCAACATGCACACACCCAAGTCATAAAAACGTAAAGCTCTAATTGGAAAGCTTCCATCATCTGAGTACTTGTTTCCTGGCATATATGCAATGATCAGTGAGGAAAGCAGGGTCAATTGAGACAGACTGAGAGTGAAATTAAAATAATAAAATGTCTAAACATTTAACTGCAAATAGGAAATCTTTATACCCACCCACACCCTATTCTGTAGCATAAAACTAAGGCAACAATTATTCATATACCTCCAAGTAATTTGCAGCCTCCATACAAAAATCTCATTTAAAATAAGAAATTGCTATTTCTGCACATTTATTCTCCCCAAATGCTGGCTAATTGCTGCAATGGCCATTATAAAGAATAATTTTCGCTTAGTGGAAAGAAAAGAAAAAAAAAAAAAAAAAAAAAAAAAAAAAAAAAAAAAAGGAATGAAGAGAACATTTTCTGGTTTTGTTCCTCTGCGAAGGCTCTATTCAGCGAATCCTGAATGCACAGCGTTTCACTGCTACATTTATTATGCTGAGAGGTCAAGTATTACACAGCATCTTGTATTACGCTTTGCATGCTAAGTATTTCACTTCACAAATTGACCCTTCGGTGTACTTACTACATAATGCTCTAAAAACCCAGCTAAAACGCAGGACAATTAGCAATACTTTGGCTCTCGCTTAACAATGGGGACACCAATGTAGGTGATTGCATTTACAGTGTTGCTTTCTTCACAAAACATTTTTGACACATTAAAGGTACTTCGGAATTGTGCAGTACCAGTCGCCTCTCTCGTGAATGGCTTTTCCAGCATGTACCGAGAGAAACAGTTACTGTAGTTTAGGGCTTAATTGAAAAGAATTCAGGCACGGCCCTATGAAGCACCAATTAGGGGGATATTATATCATAAAAAGCTGTAATATCAATTTTCAGGCTTGTTCAGCAGCCAGTACAAAGTAGGGCACGGCTTCAAAAGGGCTCCTGCGCGGAGCGGGACGCCGGGAGGCGGCGAGGCCGGGGCGCGGAGCGGGGCGGCGGCTCCGCGGCCTCGGGCGGCTGCACCGCTGCTCCGCAGCTCCACACTGGAGGTCGCGGCGGGCTTTTCGCCCCCAACAGTCGTGGAGAGGGGAAAGCCTCGTGGCTCCGGCAGCGCGCGCTGTCGGCAGCAGCACGCCGCCGGGACACCCCCGGGACGCGGAGAATGAAATCACCCGAAGTTGCTGGGATTTTTTTTTTTTTAACTATTATTATTTATAGCTGTAATCATGGAAACAAATAGAACCCTCCATTAGAGCTCCCGGCTCAGCGCGCGTCCCTGTGCTCTCAGCTCCCACCCCCCTCCTTGGCAATCCAGAGAGCGGCAATTGCCTGCGGCTCATTGTGCGGGGAAAACAAACAAACATAAACTTATCGCCCCGAAAATTTTGGATTTCTCGCGTCAAGCTGCTAATAAAACGACATTAATGGATCAGCCCCGCGAAGTGTCTCTTCAGTGGCTTTAAAGTATCTTTCGAGTGCCGCGGGAAAGCCGAGGCGCACCCACTCCCGACAGCTGCTGCCGTCTGCCCAAGCATCTCCGGGCAGGGGGCATCCCGCCTCCCACCACCGCCCATCTGATGTGGTAACAACATTTATTATTATTATTACATTTATTATTATTATATTATATTATATTATATTATGTTATATATTTACAGGGAGAAAAACCCAAGGGTTCCAAAACCACACGTAGAAATGGCATCTTGAAGCTGATGAAGCAAAATGAGACCAAACATCCCATGACCTTCCTAGGGCAGGGACTCCACCTGCCTTCCCTCACCACGTGTCCGACGGGGAAGCTCTTTTCAGCCAAAGCAGGCCCTTCACAGGGCTTTCTGATGCAGTGCAGGGGCAAGACACTGGAAGGGACTAGGGGCAGTCTGCGGCAAGCTCCTCAGATACATTTGTTTGTCACCCAGGAGGATGTGGGTATCACACAAATGCATGTTCATCATGCCCCCTAGCACCTCTCCATCTATGAAAGTGCTGGGAGTATCTGCAAGAGAGTCCTGAAGGCACCTTATTACTGTAGCTGCAGGATTTCTAAGGGTTACTGTCAATGATTTTATGGGCTGGTTCGGCCCGGTTCTGTGACCAGTGGGATGGAGGGATCGATAGATCCGCGCCTCCAGAAAAAAAAGGCTATTACTGGCATGTGTATATCTCTCTGTGTTTAGTAAACCTTATAAATACTGTAGAAAGAAAACTCGAGTTGAACAGGATTAACTCATCTTCTGCACTGTTGAACTTTTAGTGTGTGAGGTATGCCTCCTGCCTGCCCTTCAGGTTTGCAATGATCTGATCCTGATCTTCCGTCACGGCCAGTGCTGAAAGGTTGAAGTCCAGTGTCAACACAACTGGAAAAGATAAAATCCTCCTATGGCTTCTTGAGATGGGGACTGCAACCAGGGTGGATGGGTACCTCAGACTGTCCAAAAGAACCATGAAGTCTTCAAATAAAGAACAGCGTGGTGACAAGGCATCTGATGACTCTTCAGTCTGCTTTTCTCAATACACGTATCTATTTCTTTCTCTTTTTCTCTGTGGTGCTAGCACATCTTTAGTGCTGTCCTGGAAACACAAGTGGTGCTAGGATCATGATAAGAGGAAGAAAGACAAGCAACATTAGGAAACTAAAGCTAAATGATGCAGATGGAGGGGATGGTGGGGGGCAGGGATCTTTTCAGTGAGTGTTCAGGCTGTGCAGTATCCCCATGCAATCCCAGTTCCAGTTACATGTGCTTCTTGTGCTTGACAGAAGTCCTGTAAATTATAAAGCAGAATTCTTCTTCTGAAGTGAACTGATAAAATCACACATTTCGATGGAATATGGTTCCATCAGGGCTCCTCTGTCTTGCTCTTGAGACAGTCTTCATGCATAAAGCACTGTTGTTTGTGAAGAGGAAAGCTTTGAGGGCTGACAGCAGCTGTAAACTCTAGAGTGGCCCTGCTTTAGCAAGTGCAAAGTCACATGTTTTTCTTCACTAAGGGCTTTTTGGAACTGCATGTAGCAGTGAGTCATGCTTTTTGCCATGCTTAAATTGGTGACAGCTCACTTTAGGTCAGGCAACTTGATACTTTCCCATGAGTGGCCCATTGTTCAGCTTTGTCAGGAGGGGTGGCGTCTGAGGGCAAACCTTCCAGCACCTGGGCACAGCCCTGCCCACCTTAGCTGTCAGCTCAATCTTCAGAATAGTTATAAACAAACAAAAGGAACCAAACATATCGGAGTGGCGGGCTGGATGTCCTTCCTCTGGGCAAATGGATGAGGTGATGATGGCAGGAGGCAGTGTGTAATAACTATTTTCATACTCTGCTTAATTAGAAATTAGTTAGAAATTAGGGGATATTCACCATGGTCACAGACTGCAGCTGCTTTAGCTCGCTCTTCTCAGTGTATGTTAGATGGCCACAAGTACACAGTGGTGTACTTTTAGCAGCCAAATGAGTAAAATCCCTCTCTGCTGCACAGGCAGGAGAAACTGAATGAGCACAGTGTGGCTTTAAGTTCAAGAGTTTTGTGTATGCTACAGAATAGGTACTTCCAGGCATTTGCTGCAAGGCTCTCATTTTCTAGATGAAAAATAAATACTTGACACCACATCAGTATACACATATCACCCTGGTAAGACGTGTATCTTGTCTTCCATCTTGTTTGAACATTTGGATCCCTTGTTGAAAAGTGCCAGTTTACCTGAGAAGAATTATTTAAATATTGGTAGAGGCTGATTTGGACCCTAACAAGCTAGCTACATCTATTGGCAATAGCTGCAACAGACTGCTGAATGAAAAGCACCTTTGTAACACCATGCTTGACAGAACTATGCATGTGCTGAAGAGTCCATTGAGAATTACAAGTGTTGCACAGCAGAGCTTGAAGAAAAACCATGGGGAAATATTTATGAGTGACTATTTTATGACAGCCTTATTAGAATCAAGTTTTAAAGGACATGCAAACTAGAGATATGCTGAGCATTATTAGGACTTATCTTCACTTAATTGTTTTGTTATTCTGCAAACAAACAAAGACACAAAAAGGGGAGGATAAAAATATCCAGTAAAGAAGTTCTGTGAAGAAACAAGCTTGCAGCAATCAATAAAAGTGAAGGAAAAGACATTGAGAATTAAATGTCTTCCTACTATCAATCAAACTTCTATATTATGTCTTTATTTTTGGTTGCTAAGTTTTTTTGCAACATTTATTTTAAAGTATTTCAATTACTTAAAAAGCCTTCCACAGTTAATCAGTTACAACTGATACATATTTTGGCTAAATACCTGTAATTACAGTTGTTTCATGCCTGAGCCCCGGTTACTGATGTTGTGTAACAAGCAGTCCTGATTGCTGACATCAGCCCACTTAATGTTCCTGCATTTATGTGATAATTAGATAAAATCAAATAAAGACTTTCTAGTAACTTCATAGAATGCAGTAAACATATTTACTGAGATTAACACAGATCTAAAATATTATTTATGGTTTCATCTCTTTCTGACATCAAAAAGGAACAGGAAAAGCATCTAGGAATGATTACTTACTTTAACATGTGTTTTTCCACAGTGTAGCCATGTACAGGTCTGTGATGTGTGAGGTGAGAACTGTAGAAAGAGGTATTATTTTTTATTAGAATCACTATTTAGAATACAATTTATGATGTTATGCTTAGGACATTTTTTTATTTCTCACCTCTACCATTTCTCACACTCTTAGACCACTACTACTACAACATTAACATTGCATGTTTGGGATGCCCTAGAATATACAGATGACCAAACTTACGAGTCCATGAACATGTAGAAATGATGTTCCGTGCAGAAAAGGTGCCTCAAAGATAATTTAGGATATCAGCTTCATAAGGAGGAATGAGCAAAGTGACCATAGCAGCAGCCTCCCAGCCATAGTGGCCATCCGGCCAGGTGCAGCCTGAGGAGGCTGGCACTTTCTCCTCAGTCTGTAGGCCAGGAGGCTCTACAGCCTGTCAGGCTGTATACAAACAAGTGGGTGAACTCCAGCTCTCAAAGCTTTCTGGTCTTCCCTGTGCAAATCTTTATTTCACTGACTTGGTCACTCCTCCTTGCTAAAGCCCCTTGCGTGACACACCCCACGGCAGTGCATTTTGGATCAGTTTGCACTTCAGCTTCTCTTACTCAGAGTAAGCGGCAGTGCTGCTTTATTCCTTGACAATTCTGACGCGTATCGTAGGCATTTGCTTTTGGCCTTTAATCCCCTTACAAAAATTTCCTGCTGGCCACCTGCAAGAGCAGCTCCAGCCTACCTGGCCACTCATCATAGCGAGCACCCTGAGCTCTGGTGTGTCACTTCCCAGACATGTCCAGCAGTTAAAATAAAACAACACAGAACTTGGGAAAAATTTCAAAATCACTTACAACCCATGGCTAATGCAGCAGTAGACAGAAATAACAAATTTTGCAGGTGTTTCTTCACTTCATAGGTCTTCATGTTTCAAAAGTCATCCTCTTAGCTCCTATTCTGTTCCCTATTTCTTCAATAAAATTGGACACAAATGTTTTTCATACAGGACATGGCCATTCCATTGCTTCAAAATTACTTCTGATTGTTCTTCATCAGGTAGAAACTTGATAGAGATGTGGTGAAAAATAGCTGATTCTACAGCCTTTCAGATAAAGTAATGGCATAGTGGTTTAATAAAACCAATGAGAATGTACATCTGCTTTTTATTTTTTCTTTCTTTTTTTCATAAAATTCTTCTCATATGAACATAACCAGAGAATGACTGCGTTGGATCATGTAGGAATCTAGCTAATCCAGAAGGCAGCTCCTGATCAATAAGCAACTATCAAGGAAAATATCTAACAAACTGGGAAAGTGTGGTCTTAATGTGGTTTCACATTCACATCTAAGCAATCGTTTGCTTAATTGGTCCCTTTACAGAGATGTGTTGGAGTCATATTGTGGTTGAAAGCCACATGCAAGATTTTTTCCCATGAATTTGTACTCCTGGCCCCACAAAGTCCTGCATCAATAAGAACATGCAATGTTTCTGCTTGTTGCTTTTAAACTTCCTACTTCATCATTTTACTGGATACCCAGTACTTCTTTCTATTTAAATTCTCCATGTAATTCTTTGTTTTCCAAGCAGAAGAATCTTAATATGTTGAACTAAGACTTGGTAAGAATCTATGTTATTCTTCTGATGGTTCTGACTTTCTTTTTCTGAATCTATTGTAGTTCTTCTATATTATTTCGTGGTAGGTTCGCTGTAGTGATATTATCTAATATGTGCCTTCACTATATATTTATTCATTGCCATAGAGATGCTTCATATTTTCTTCTCTATTTCCTGCGATAATTCCTAATGTATCATGTCCTACATTGGTCTAATATAAAAAAATATGCAATCTTGTTGGCCACTAACTAAATATTTTGAAAAATTTCTACAACTCTCCATGATCAGCTTGAGTATTTTAATATAAACAGAAGTCTTTCTTCTCTCACAGCACGCACACGGACTCTCACCACCCTTCTCACATCATTTTTTAGTATTCTGGAGAGATAAAAAGAATTCACTGGTAACTTCCATACTTTTCGTTAGCATAGTAAAATTTTAACATTTGTTCCTTCTTATACTTGAAATCGAGAAACTCCCTCTTATGCCAAGATTGTTTCATTTTGGAATCTACAGTGAAGAACCTTGTTGAAAACTTCTTGAAAATCTGCCATACACAGTGTAGCCAATATATAAGCACAGATTCATTTATTTATTTATTTTAAGAGATCCTGGAGTTCCTAACTGCTGTTTGTGTAGAAAAGCTGTAAGAAAAAAAAACATTCAAGTTTAGCAAAGGCATAAACAGGAACCTACACATACATTAAAAATTGTTATTTAAAACCTGTTTTGTAACTTAACAGAGCTTGGTGCTGGCAATGCAAATAATTGCGTGTAATTGGTAGTACTTTAATATTTATTTCCCTTCCTAGTCCATATTGCTTTTATTATGAGTGGCTACTTGTAGTTAAAGGGGAGGTGCATCTCACTGAAATAAGCCCTAAGATTTGCTGGAATGGAAGAGGATTTCTGAAGTTCCTGGGCTTTGCATTTGTCCTGTGCAGAAGGCAGAGCATCAGATGCTGTAAGCCAAAATGATTTTACTATGTAAATAGATGAACAGTGTGGATTGGTGTCATTAATAGGCATTCACTGTATTGAAGATAAATGTAGAGAGAGAAACAGTAAGGATATTTGTAAACATAGAGGACTTAACAATACCACAGTCACTGGAAAAAAAATAGGTACATGGAATGAGAGGATGTCAGGATACTGTGCTTCCAAAAGTTCTAGGCAGCACAGCTGTTAACTACATGAGGACTTGTTCCTTTACCATGTCCACATCCTGCTCTAGGTTTCCCTTTCTCTGTGCCATGTATAATACCCATGGGCAGAATACCAGGAAAATGCAAGGACTGAGGTGGTCTTGGTTACTAATACTGAGTTACCAATCAGAATACTGTGTGTGCCTTGGGCCTCTTTAGTTCTAACTATGGAAGCACTGATCCTGTCATTTTTTTACTAAGTGAAGTTGCAGAAACATCATGTGAAATATTGCTTATATATTTTAGAAGCAACTCTGGAATGTGGGATGCAGAGAATGCATTTTTTTCATTCTTTGTTATTCCTTCTCAATTATTGCTTTTATATCCCAATTTAAAATAGCAATATCTATACTTCACTGCAGCTTGCTGCTTTGATAGAGAAATGTACTTGACTCCCTACAGTTATTGCAATTGGAGGTGGATCTGATTAGGATGCTTTTCCTAATTAAGTGATATCACCTAACGTGAGTTGCCCTACCATTGTCTCATTGCGGTGTAAAAATAACAACAGTGCAGAATCATTTGGTTATTTTATTTTCCTGATTAAAATGTCTTTACTCATTCATATTTTACAGAGTAAAATTCCACTTTAATGAAAGAAAGAGGGTCAGTTTTCCAACACAGATAATTATATGTCCTCATATCCCAATCATGGTTAGGGCTCAATTTCACTGAATTCAGCAGCAGCACATCTCACTAGATCCACATGTGAGGAGAAAGCCCAAGGTGGATACGCAGCCACCAGAGATCACGGAGAAGGTCCTTCAGAGGGCTTTTCATTCACAGTCATCTCTGGGAGAAAAAGAAACAAGTCATGCCCTCCCCAGCCAGCTGCCACATATATGCAGATCTTCATGGTATGAAGGAAGTTCTTTGTCTTCATTTGAATCTATAAGATCTGGATGTTTCAAATTGATTTTTTATGTTTTTTCCTTGAAAAAAAAAAAAAAAAAAGTATTTCATGAGAAGCTCTAGAGTTCTCTTCTTCTCTGTTCTTTTTAAAGGTCCAGCTGAGCCCATATTTGATCAAAATTCTGATCTACTATTAAGTGCAGGTATTATCAGAGATAATAATAAATAAATAATAAATAATAATAAATAAAGGGAATTTTGAACATCTTTCCATATGTTAGTGACTACAAGACAGATGAGATTTGCACTTGATTTGCCTATATTTTTAGGCAATTTTATAAAGTTTATAAAGTTTAATATGAAATCTTTTTAGTACATTCAGAGTTGAAAAATATGATATGAAAAGATATTTCTCTGAGAAAGAGAAATAGCTGGTTATGGAAAAAGAGATTTTGTATTTAAGTAGATAATAAAAATGAAACACATACACACATCTTTAATTGCAAGCACAGCTGTTGGATGCAAATACTGCAGACCTTACAGCTCAAAAACACTCTTAAGGGAATCTTGCTCAAAACAGTCTTCAGGATCAGGCCTTGTAAGATGGAATTTTTAAGTAGAATGTTATATAACATTTAACTCATGTATAACTCATGTATCATTTGTTTCCTTGTAACACTAAAATTAATATTTTTCACATTTCTTCTGCATGCAGCACAGTTAAAAAGAAAAAAAATAAAAAGAAACTTTTGTCTCTGCCCCTATGAAAGTTGAAGTAGGATTTCCTGTCTTATTCTTTTCATTCTGACTAGTGGTGTTCCATGTAGCATATTTTATTGCTGTTCTGCTGTCTTCTGTGCCCTTGTGGCTGCATGCATCAACCTTAGTGGAAAAATTGACTTTCCTATGGTTTTGCTCTTTCTTTCTTCTACTTCCTTTCCCACTTTTGTTGTTTCTATTGATTCAGTCACAATAAGTAACAAGCAAAAAAGAAGATTAGGGCAGAAAGATCTTCCCAGCCTATCAATAAATTTCCTAAGCCTTGCTGGCTGTAATTTTTCAAAAAGACTTAGAGTTACATTTACATTCAGAAAATAAAATGCGTAATCCAAGGGATCAGCTCTTTCACATTCAATAATGTGTACCAAAAATAATTCAGCTGAAGCCAGTGGCTTAAAATTTATACAAGAGAGCAGAAAACCAGGCTGGTGTACAAAATGGCAAACCGTTGTCATTTCTGCCAGGCAAAAATCTCGAGAAAGACAGCTGCAAGAGTTTTGTCCAAATAAGAATTTTGATATTCAGCCAAGGAGCATGAAGAAGACCAGAATTAAGTCCCAGTATTTTCTAGATGGAAACATCTGATTGACTGCTCTGTGCTTACGAATTTTTTTCTTCAAATGTTTTTCTTTTCAGTTGTACTCATTGTACCAAATTATCTCCTCATTAGCAGAAGACAGTTTTGCTTGTTGAAAATGATAAAAAACGATGTGATTGAAGTTTCTGTTTAACAAATTTTCTTTTATGGTATATTCTCCTGAACTAAAGTCTAATCTGGGCTTTCTAAAACTCATATCAGTCTCTTTACAACTTTGTCTCCCCAAAGTACTAAAATATTTTACCAACCTAAACCATTTGAACTTTCACTAACATTTATTTGCCATAAGAAACAATAACTCCAGAGACAACTCTGTGACTACTTTAATATTCTAAGTTGGCCTCGTATCACGTAGCTCATGTTATTTACTAAAATCAATAAAAATGCCAACAGTAAAAATATTCCTTATTATCCACTGTTGATGGAATTGCCCTCAGCATTAAGAACATTGGCAACTTCACAAGCAAGCAGTGTCAAGTTCACAAATGTTTGATTGAAATACGAATGTGAATGCCACGATTGTGTTGTTCAGCTTTGAATGTCTCCTATAAAAGGAGCATTAAATAATTTGAAGTCATATGCTCTATTCTAGTTGTACATTACTGCAGAAATGGGGCTTCAGAGAAGCTAAATCGTGTTCTTTAAAATGCATTTAATTCAGCATTCAACTTTTGTAATCAGTTTGGGTGGGTTTCATTTTTCCCAAAAACAAGCAAACTAATGACACAAGGTACTTGCCTCTTAAAGTGGGAGCCTTTACATTCCTGCCTCCTAATTAATCCCATCCGCAAACTCCTTTTATTTTTGCAGTAATGGTGGCCCCTGTTCAGTTGGATCTGGTACATTTACAACTGAAGGGCAGAAAATGTCTTAGTACTACTTGCTTGTTGTTAAAATGTGAAGAACAACACACAACAAAAAAATAATAACTAGTGTCTGGGGAAAACACGCCATCAAGATTCAGAAAGTTCACAAGAAATCTGTTTTACTCAGTGCAGCATTTTAAACAAAAGATTCTTTTCTGTTCAGCATTCTCTGGTAAACATCCTGGTTTAAAGACAATCATCCTAGCGTGGAAGCTCATCAGCCTCTGACCCCCAAAATACTATGTATTTAGAAATATTGTATACAGTGACTAGTAAATCCCCAAATTTAAAATGTTGCATTTTAAAGTGAATCCTATTTCCTGATGTAGTGACTAATAGCATGACCATGATCAAGTTGTCACAGAAGTGAAATTGCAGTCACTCCTTTGGGAAGGAAACAGTTCAGACACTTCATCTCAGCTGTTAGATAAAATAGAAGCCAGTCAGTGCATTCCTTACACTGTACTAAAATAATAATTGTTATGTGCCTAGCTGAACTGCATGAAGTGCAGAGTCTGAACCCTTTATTTATATGCCTTGCACAATCAAACATAAATGGAATAAATAAAGTGCATTAAGTACAGCACTTTCCCTTTTGAAGCCACTGGCCTTACACAGAACTCTAAGAAGTAAACTCTGCAGCCTCCTCTGGGCCAGAACATCAATTGAGTACTTGCAATAAGAAGTGAGAATCATATGTTATTTAAAGGCATTAAGCTAAGTGTAGATATTTAATGCAAGTAACTTAGCTGTGCGTTTAGTTAATATGGAAATAATTATTATAATGTAGCACTTCATTATTTATAATGCATTAAATTGAGATTTTTATATGATGCCTTTACAGAGCAGATAGTTCTTTTGTGCAGCAGATAACCAACGTGCGCAAAAATTGCAAAAAATACAGAAAGGGTGAAAGATCTCTTAAAAAGCAATATGTAAGGTTTGATGATTAAAAATGGATAGTAATCACCCAAATGCTAAGCAAATAGCATTACTATTCAGTGGTTTTATTCTCTTTTCATGGAAGGTATTTAAAATCTCTTCTCCAGTGCAGGAAAGATTGTCTGAAATACCTGCATATTTTCAACGGCTAAGCTATATATTTTCTGGTTATATTCTTCATGTAGAGTGTGGGAAATATTTATTCCAAAGCCCAGATGAAGCAGCAATGTGAGAAATGTTGTAAAGCATCTCATATTGATTGGAGCTAATTAACTGCCGTGCTCCACTGTTGTTCCCAGTTTTAAGCAGCAACACAAAGCACAATGCCTTTTATTTCGCTGTTCTACAGACTTTTGCTTAAAAACAGATTAATTCAGTATTTGTACAATTTCAGCACTTTTTGTCTTAAAATGTTTTTTTGTAGATACACCAGAAATATTTTCTATGCCATGTTGGTTTTTATGTTTCATAATAAAGTACAATTTGATAAACTACTCGTACAATTTTGCCCTTCTATAAGTATAGTGAACATGTGAAACATGCTACTTTGTGATTACGTTTTCAAATCAGCTCTACATTTTTAGAGGTATATATTTAAAAAAAAATAAACCTAAGCATAGAAAATCCTGAAAGAAACTCAGCAATTGGTTTCCCCTTCTTCTCTCTTGTACCAGCTAACCTTGAATCAGAAATAAATGATGTAATCCTGTGCATCCTACATTTACCACTGCATATCTATAGACATACATTTGAGGGTGAGAAGCAGGAATACTAAAATGTTTCTCAGCACTGCTGAAGCAGGTATACTGCTGTTGTGCAAATCAGATTGTTTTAATATTGAAGATGTGGGAATATATCAGAATCCATTATTTGTCTTTAGTTGGTGTCACTGGAATTTTAATATCTGGAGAAAGTTGGGTGCCATCAATTTTAGTTAATGCTGAAACAAATCACCACTATTAAACATTTTGATTAAAAATGCATCTTGTTTATTCCACTGACTACACACACACAAGAAATTACACACTCTGTGATTTCTTGTCTGACTAGCTGCAAATGTACCTATCACCTCTTCACACCGCTTCCCAAAACTTTCTCCTGGTTTCCCAAGTGCTTTTTAAATTTTTGTTACTTCTTCATTCCTAGCCACACTGACTCTAGGAAGAAGAATCAGAGCAAGGCATCCGTACAAAACCATAGGGTATAAAAACAAGGCATCTGAAGGTTTTAAATTCAAGACTGGTTCAGCTCTGCATCACATAGGAATATGTCACAGCCTGCAGTACGAGCTACATCCTTTTTTGCATCTGTTGAGGTCATATCTTGTCACCAGGCTGGGCTCAGCTCTGACTGCACTCCAGGGCAAGAGGTTCTCCAGGTGTCTAGCAGGGTTGCGGGGAAGGAGAAATGGGCAAGGGAGGGATGTAGCACACAAAAACTGGCTTCTAGCAGGTCCAGGCTGAAGAGGCTGGTGGACTGTGGGAGAAATCAGTCACAGATGAAATCCTGTTTATGATTTCATTAGCAGCAGGTAGCATCTACCTGCTTCCCCAGTTGTTCTCTCCACCCTCTGATATTCCTGTCAGGCAACCACGACATATTCTCAGACCCCTATGAAATCACACTTCTATAAAGTGGAATTGGAGCTGAGAGGCCTCTTCAGGCTCAGGGTCAGTGAGAGCATACTATATCTTTTGTTTCTGTTGTGCTACTCCTGCTGCTTCTGGGAATTGAGAGCAGAGGGAGGAAGGAGAGACTTGTGACAGAGATGTTAGCTGCACTGCTTGGCAGACTACCGCCCAGCTCCCCACTGTGCCAAAGATACCCAGAGGAGCCCTGAGCCTGCCATGGCATTTCTCTCTAACTCCACCTTCCCGCTAAGTTAAAATTCTTTCTATCCCTCATTTTCTCTGGTTGAAGCTGGCATTTAGACACTGCTGTGAAATGGTTAAGCTCTTCTTCATGGCATCACCGTTTTCATACCAGGAAATAGGAACGTAACAGACCCTGTGTGTGACATTGGTAATCTGCATGGAGGGGAAAGCAGGGGTCCATTCCAGTGATGAACACAGTTAGCTTTCAGAATAGTATTTTTTTCTCTGCAGGAGAAGACACACTGAAACCCCACATTGTGGGATGCTTCCATGGGGATTAGGAGAATTGGGACTGTTTGTAATAAATAAATATCCAAACACCTATTTAAATTAAATATATTTGTATGGTGTTAAATAAACAAAAAGAATAATCCTTTTCAGGACAACAATTATATTCGTATTCTCATGACTCTTCTATGTTTTCCACCTTCCCCCTTCTCTGAGTTGAGTTTCCATTACTACTACAGGCATTTTTTTATTTTTCATATTGTTTTTTTCTACTCATAATGTTCTAAGATTTTGACAGTGATGTAGCTAATACTGCAATGATCTTAGCAGTAACAAGAGCAGGTGTGTTCAGCTCCATGATTTTTAAAAGCATTGACTGGATCTTCCTTAAGATGTTTATTCTTGGTTGACTCTGAGGACTAGATGCATTTGAAAAATGTGCCTGTGACTTCTGTACAGTCTTAATATATCACCTGGGGAATTTATGTAGATTCTGTATGTTACTCTAACTAACATCCCAAGTCTCCTAGCCATTGTATTTTATCTAACGTGGTCTAGTAATACTCTGCCTTGAAGGCAGGTCATACCTTTTCTGTAAGTAGTATGTAATTCTCCTCTGGATCTCCCCTTACTCGAAGTAGTTCTGTGAAATAAGAAGACACAAAATTCGTCTTCAAATCTTATTTCAGTAATCTTGTCCTGGATGTGAAGAAGGTGAAACCTGGTTATTAGCTTAAAAGACTAAAATAAAACTATGTTTCAAGATTAATTGGGATTTCTCCTTTCCCTGTGTTGAGCTTGAAGAAGCCCTTCTATCAGCATTGTTATAAGTTATTGAAGCAGCCTGTCAAAATAGATTTCTCAGCCCCAGTTAACTGCTGGTACACTAGCATGAACCTCCAGATTCTGTGCCCTCTCCCTCCCTTTCACTTTGCAGTGTCTACTGAAAAGTTGTGATTGAAAACCTTATTTTCACCGTATTTGAAACTTGTATTTTCTGCAAGAAAATACATACAGAGCAGTAAAGTTAGCTGCTACAGTGTTTGACATGGACTTTTGGTAATTAGAGTTACTGTATTTTCATGTGTCCGTGAGATGGCAGGTTTGGGTTGTTTGGCTTAGAGATCCGTATCTTGTTCCTGAGATTGGAAAGACCCCAGGATTTCATGCACTGTGAAGTAATGGTGGATAGTAGTGACGAACCTGTTGGTAGAACAGTCTGAGGTGAAAAAATCATGCCTCTTGGTGAGAAGGCAGTTTGTTGGGGAATTGATTTTCTGTCTAGTTCTCCCTACACATGATATGGAAGACAGAATAAGTATGGAGAAGCACTGTTGCTACATATGTTGAACATTAGCATAGGGATAGTAGTACTTTTCTTCAATTTAACATTTGTTCCTATTCAGTGCTTCAGTTTTCTGAGGGTAAATGCTTTACAGATCTCAAGTTGGATGTAACATAAATCCAGATCTCAGGTTAATGGTGCTAAGTTTGCAATGTTGTGGTCAATACTCCTGATATCCAATAATGCCTTTTTGGAAAAAAAAAAATCATGTCCTTGCAAGTGCAAAAAGACCTTGTTCAAGGGTTCTTCAGAGCCACAGAAAATGAGACCAAAAAGAGCCAGAATGTTATTGCCTGCACACCATAGCAATTTCTGCATCACACTTCAGCTCCAGAAGGACATACATTTTTGAGTTAAAGTAGTGGAGGTCCTATCATAACACCCGTATGCCTTCCCTGTTAAGGATTTGCACCTTATTTCAGCTGAGCTTTGCCTAGCCTAAGCTTTTATCTGTAGAGCATAAATGTGCTTCCTTTTCCGTGCCAAATTAAAAACACATCTTGTATAGGAAATCTTTTCTTAGTTATGTGTAGGCTCATTATGTCATGTCAACCTCTTTGCTCCTGCCCTGGAAAAAACATACTTCATTGATTTTGTGTACTGGAAAAGACTTTAATATTCTTTAAATAAATATAACTTCAATATCACTCCTGTATTGGCATAAAAAAGGAGTGTATAGGAAAAGAATGGAGGTACTGGTTGTATTTGCTATGAATTTAAAAGAAAAGAGGAAAAAGAAAACACAATGCATTCCTAAGAGTATAATGAAGAGAGAAAAAAGAGTTTGGATTGTGGCACAGATTTTTGTTTCCAGTTGCTCTGTGAACCACACAAGCTACATTTATTCTTCACGTTGTGACAAGACTCCTTAAAACTTGTGCTTCTTTTGCTTCAAAGTATGTATTAACTGTTTATAATAATATTTGTTCAGTCCTGGTCAAAATAGAGGTGGATGGCTCATGCTCTAAACTGAGAATAACAGCAATGAAGAAGTTAGAAATAAAATGGATCTTCAGATCTTACTTACTGGCATCTTACAACACTGCAACAGGAAGAAGAGCGGATTCTCCTGGTCGTCCTGGTCTCTGCAACTTCTACAAAAATGCTGGTTTAGAAAATACTTGGGAAGTACGTGGTGGGAGTTGCTCCAGGGACCAAAGTACAACAAGAGGCGACAACTCTAACTTGAATTCACACTGTGAAGAATGTTGAGCTACGGAGTCTGCCTGTGTAAGAGCTTTGGAGAACAGGGATCTTAAACTACCAGATGTAGATCATGTCATATTTAGTGGTGTAATTTATTGCGACAAGACACCCACAGAAAAGTTCAAGAAAGAAATAATGGATTTCAGAAATCTTCCAGAAGTGTCCCAGATAACTCTCTTTTGAGTCAATTACTCCACACTTACCTACACGAGCACTTTGTTTTAAAAGCTGTATTACTATTGCCACAGGACAAGACTCTGAGTAATGCAAGTTACTGGTCTGATTTGACCTTATATTTTCTATTAAAATATTTTTTCTAAGTGTACCCATCGCTTTCTGGATAATGTTCTAGTATATGCAAACTTTTGAATGCTCACACCATACCCATTTCTTTCCCATACTCTCAGCATTATCATCATTTTTGCCCATGCAGTAATATTCAAATATATTCCCATGGGCCTTATCCTCGTTGTTAGAGCCTGTTTTTTGTTGCTACAGCTCACCTGTTGGAAATAAGTGGCAGAAGTCTTTCTCACTTTAGTCAATAAAATACCAAAAAGAAAAAAAGAAAAAAAGAAAAAAAAAAAAAAGAGAGAGAGAGAAGAAAGAAAGAACATTCAAAAATTCTCTACATTGCTTCATTGAGGATTTTTGCAGAGGTCAAATCTGTCCTCACTTGTGAACATCCCTAAAATACTCACTAGAAAAGCTAGAAAGCAATGCCAGCATAAGCAAAAGAAGGGAAATTCTGGATGTTTTGAAGCTACTCATCTAGCTTTTCCACAGATCTGTTTTGGATGACAGTTTCCACCCCAGGTCTGTCTGGAAAGACTCCGACAACCAAGAAAATTCCTGGTTGCATGTTGTTTTTCAGTGCTTACATCAAGACAGCCTGTTGGTGTCCCTCAGCACATTTCTGAGACTTACCACTCATGATTCCTTTGCTTCCCCTCTATTTCAGGATAGAACTTCTCTGCATTACTTTGTTGGAAAACTCATCCTTAGTGACAGTGGATTGCCAGAATGGCTAAAATGGGCTGATCAGCCGCCTCCTGCTTTTAATGAGAACTGGATGAAGAGCCTCTGGAGAACAGTATTATGGTTTCATCTCCCACGCTTTTTGCAGAGCCTTGCACATGTTCGCACTGCTCTGTTTTCTTTCTTCATGTTTGTTCCCCATTCATAGGTCAACTCTTCTCATTACATTAATCTTGCAGGAAATAATACTGGAAATAAAATGCTCACTTCTCATGGGATTTTGTTCATCTACACACATTTTTTCTTGCCCTTAAGCAGGAACAATATTGTACATCTCAGTTTCTTTGGTTAAAGTAAAATCTTTGCTGTGAAAAATTTGTTCCACTGCTTCTGTCTTCTATTTTCTGTGAAAATCCAACACACATTCAGCCACAAGCACTACAAGCAGGGAAAGAAGAGGGGCAGCAGATACACCATGATGCTCGAACTGGTACCCCAGAAAGCTTGTCATTCCATTACTCCTCTACCCTGCTCAAGCCTGATTTAAAACAGATTAAGTTGTGGACTGAGAAGCTTTCATCTGTAAAGCAGTCTTTTAAGGCAAAAAGAATTACTCATTCTTTCAGCCTGCAGAAAAAGTGATTGCCAACACGACACCTTTTAATTAAGAATAATTTATTTATTAAAATCAGTACATCCTACATTCTGCAGAGAGTACCTTTGAGTTTTGCTGTTTTATTTCCTTAGAGCAATTATTTAGCAAATATATTTCTGCAGTGTGACAGGAAGGGAATGAAGAGCACTTTATTTTGCAGACCTATCGTGGCGAACCTCGGGTTTGGCAAGGGAAAATTATGTCTGTGATTATGAACTGAAAGGAAAAGACAACCTGTAAATAAACCACAGCCTTAGGGAAGGAACAGTGTCTGAGGTTTAAAGGTAATCCTGCAACATTGATCCAAAGGTGTCATTACTGAAAAAAATAATAAAATAAAGTAGGAAGACTGGCTAGTGTGCCTCCTATGGTCTTGAAACAAAGTTTTTTAAGTGTTAGATTAGTCCAACTCTCAACATAAAGTGTCAAACAGAGTAGCCTGGAAGCTGGGTTTGGGGCAGGCTTCATGCAGTAGCTCTTGGTGTTCCACTCCAGTACACAGTTCCGCACTCAGCAGCAGGACATAGACTGCTCAGAGCAACTCCCTTTCAAAAATGTGACTTTTTGCTTGAGTGCTTGCAATTGGATGATGTGACCTGTGAGCATAAGCTCACAGTGAGCATAAGCTGACCAGTCCATAAAACACACACAGTATTAATATTATTTTTTTACTTCCTGGAGTAGACTTCCGAGGGGAAAGAATGACAAAAGAGCAGCATGTTATTGGTATCATTGCCTGTGGGTTATTGTGGGAAGTGAGAGGTGATAAAGAGCTGTTTGCTGTCACCAAGGAAATGCAGAATAACTTTAGGAGGCGTAATATCATTGCACCTGACAGGGTCAAGGTTATAAAGGTGGTTGTTGGGCATGTGCTGATGCTATTAAACCTCTACTAGCGTGGAAGGGCTCGATCCTATTCTGCTGGAAGCAGAAGGGCTTGCATCTTAACTTTGGTGGGAACACGCTCGAGCCCAGATCGTCTTAACATAGAATATTGGTAGCAAATGACTCACACGGGAGAAAAAAAATCGGCCTAAAATTTTAAATGGAATGACCCTCCATATTTGAGGAGTTTTTGGAAGGTTCATGCTTGACTCGCAGCGACTTAGAAAAGACTTTCTGAAATGTCTTAATGACCGGGAAAAAAAGAAAGAGAGAAAAGGAAAAGGAGAAAAGAAGAAAAGAAGTAAAGAAGAAAAGAAGAAAAGAAGACGTCTCAGTTTAAAGAAAATATTTCTGACGTGAGGGCATGGTACTTGAAAGCTGTAATTATGTGAATGCCGGTAGTAAAAAGCATCCTTCTGGGGCTGTCCAGCTGAAACCTGAGCACAAACAGAAATTTGGCATCTGAAGGAGAGGAGAATCCTGAATACGGTGGGGTTGTTGTTTGGTTGGTTTTTTCTCCTTTTCACCGTGTTTTATCCTAAATTTAACGTCTCGGACAACTGCAGGCAGGTGGCGTGGTTAGGAATTGAGCTTTTTGTTTGTTTCTTGTCGGAAAGCTTGCGGGCAGCGCAGTGCCGCGGCCAGGGCGGCTTCTTCGGAACAAGCCTAGGACCGAGATTTGCAAACAACGGCGAAGCCGCGGACGCACAGCGCATCCGGCTGAGCCCGGCTCCGCTTCACCCCGGTCCCCGCTCCGGACCGGGCCCGGCGGCCGCGAGCAGAGCAGGCGGTGCCGCGGACATTTCCGCCCCGCGAAGGACTGCGGATTGTTTTTAATGTCCCGCTGTTTCTTCTTCAGTTCTACCCTCGGAATCCTAAGATTCACGGAAGAAAGCTGAGTAATGGGGCGGTGGGAACAAAATTCTGGGATTGAAAAATTCGCTCAGTACCTCGAGAATATCGCTTAAAAACTGCTCCGAAATATTCCCTGGCTTTTTAATTGAAGTAAACAAAGTGCAACAAATCCTAACTCAAATATGATTGCACTGAGATTAAGCTCTAATTGCTTAGGGTTCAGGTGGAATCTGCAGGCTAAAGCCTAGAAGAACAATCTGAATTTCACAATCATTCTGTCAAAAGCAAAGAGATGAGAGCCCACACGCTTACTAACAAGTCATTTTTAACAGTTACAAGCTTCTTACAAAGACCACACAGGGAGTCTAAGAGATGCAAATCTAATCCCTGGTCATTCCGCGGGCCTGCAACAAAGATGTACTAAAGCCCTAATAGAAAAGAAATCAGTTCTCTGTCACCAGCTCCTGGTAAAATCTATTAGAGAAAGTACGGATCTGGCATTTACAGCGGTTGCTTTTAAAGGTTAAGGACAAGTACATATAAAAGGCGCATATATATATATATATATATATATATATATTTGCATATGAAATATTTAATAAAATCTGCTCTTATTGTTCCAAAAGAGGATTTGGTGTTATTTAGTATTCATTGAGCAGCACAGTGGAATTCATTGAGCAGAAGAATTATCCATCCATTCTTTAAAATGTTGACAACAGAAATTTAAAGAAAAATGTTTCTACGGATACTGTTCCGCTTTTTTTTCCCCCTCCTTTTCTTTCTTTCTTTTTTTCTTTTTTTCTTCACTATTTCCACTTGCAAACGTACTCAGGGACAGCAGAACAGAGGTCAATCTCCTGCCAAAAACTCCGTCATGCGGAGTTTGACCAAAAATGAATATTCAAGTGAAACGAATACAGAAATAAAGAGGAATAAAACGTCCCACAATGCACTGGCAAAGGACATGGAAACAGGCAGACGTGTTACGGGCACTGCCTTCTTCTCGCTCCTCCTAAGTTTTGGTTGTAATGAGATCAGCCTTTTTTTCTCTCTCCTTCGCAGTATAAGGAATTCGTTCTATCTCTCGGCAAATCTCACTGATGCAGTGAGGGATTCTATTATACTTTTGAATCGTTGAAGTTAACAGATACGAAAGTGATTACTTTTTAATACTGACGAACACACCCGCAAGGACGCATCTCACTGCGTTCGCATACATCACTTATGCAGATCGGCATTAACACGGAGAAGCCTCATGCTAGTTTTTAGGTCACTGTGACTCGTGGAAGGCTGCGTGCCCAGCCCCTGTCCGCAGCCCGTGTCCCAGTAAGGCGCGTCAATGAGGGCGCAGTCCTCCAGCGCTCCACTCGCACCATGAGATTTGGTTAAGTGGGAATGTGCCTGCCAGAAGACTGCTGGGTTGGAGTAGCCCTTCTGTTTTTCCCTTGAAAATCACTGGCAATAAAATAAAAGATTCATTTGAAAGTGGACTACGAGTTTTTCGTCGTGGGAACCGGGGGGACGGAGGTCTTAGATTATCAAGGGAGCCCTAGGTGACACTCCTGAAGGTGACAGTGCTGTTCTAACTCGTGGCTGCATTACCGATGTGGTATAGATACAACTCCTGACAAAAGTCGGGCGATGGATCTCACACGCACACACAAAAAATTGTATTGCTCTTCAGTAATTGTGTAAAAAGAGAATCGGGTCGGAATTCGCCGGCGGTTCTGCTCGGATCTTGGGGTGTTTTACCAGAGCGGGGAAGAGCTCTGTGCATCCCGTGGGCCTGCCGCGGCTTTAAGGGATAAACAAAACACGTCGAGATCAAATGGCCCCATTCTATCTGTACATCTCGATGGGGACAGATTGTGTGGATAATGACAACAAAGCCTGGGTTGGGACAGAACTTTTCCTAAGAAGAGCGGTCCCTTCTTTCCTCTTACCACCTTCCGTGTGGGGACCGTGAGCAGCAGTGCATACTTTCTGGGGGGACGGGACAGGAGACAGTAATTGTAGCGCTTCGGGTAGGGGAGCAACTGCTTCCAAATCCCCAAGCGCAGCCTTGGAGGCCTCCTCCACCATCTAGCCGAGCTCTAATTAGGGCTCTGAAATAATGAGCTTTGGCGGAGAGGAGAGCTGGGACTCCCTCCTTCCTTTCTGGGAGCAGCACAGTGGAAAACCAGACGGGAATGCGTTCCCCGCTTCTTTCCTTTGCCAAGGAAGGGGCAGATTTGTGGGGCGGTGGCTGGGGCGCGGGCAGCCGGGCTGCAACGGGGGGAGCTGGAGGAGGGGAGGAGGCTGAGGTGTTCTACAAGTCTGGCCCCAGCGAGGAACCCCGAGGCAGTGGCAAGGATGTCCGTACCAACCCGCCCGTCACCCTCCTCGATGTATGAGCGCTCCGCAAAGCAGTAATAACAACTTGTACCTCTCCGAGGACAAATGTGGCTTTCTGCGATTTATTTATTCCAATATTTATTTATTTACCTCCTCTTCCCTTCCCAGGAGCTAATTTGGCCGCTTGAAGTGGAAGAGGATTACAAACTGGGTGGGAACGGGGATAAGCAGTGCACTGGGACGGGCCACGGCGTTTAGCCTCACGAAGAGGTGACTGCTGCAAATCCTGAGAAGCAAACGGGGCGGGGGGCTGCGCTCGGGGCTGGGAAGCTGCCTGCAGACCTAACGCTCTGTCGGCAGAGCACAACCGCATCAACAAGTAAATGAGGGGAATCGGAAACGTCAATTAATGTGCGAACTGAGGTGCTGGGAGAGCCATAATTTCATTGTTGGTTCCCCCCCAGGCGAATCTCATTTCTGCCTGCTCCTCTCCTGCAGGATGATTACGACAGAGGGTGCGTAGGCCTTCCTGCTTTCCGGAATGTTAAGGAGTAAGGAAAACGTTCCGAGCAAGCAGGAACAGGGAGTGCCGTCCTGCTCTGTGCAAGGGCTGCTGCGGGGGACAAGGTGACGGGACTCTGCTCTTCCCGCGGCTACCCACCCCCGAGCTACGTGCGGTGGCTCTTGAGCATCCTTTCTCCACTCCTGCAACGATGCGGAACCTACCGGGGACAGGAGAGGGGAGCCCCGGGAAGTGCTTCCCAAGATAGGGCTCCCCAGGGGAAGGGTTCTCCAGAGCAATGCTCCCTCGGACAGGGCTGCCCGGGGCAGTGCGCTCCGCTCCGCTCTAGCTGGCCCCGAGCAGTTCTCCGTGCACGTGTCCCTCCTCCGGGTCTTTTATTCAAAAGCAATTTATCGTTTTATAGAAAATAATCCGTTCTTAATTAGATGACTATTAACCCTAAGGCTCTGGTAGGACAGTCAACATGCTTTTCCAATAAATACTTTTTTTTTTTTTTTTTTTCCCCCCAAATGGAGGAGTCTCGGTGTAAATCAAAACCTTGCTTTCTAATGCAATTAAGTAATATTTTCAAATAGAGTATTATTTTCAAAATACAGCGTGATTAAAGCGTCGTGAAAAAGCTTTGCAATGAGGAGAAAATATTTGGTGCTCGTCTGCCGATTCTCTCACCTACCACCTACTCTGAATGCGTTCTGTATCTTCCATCGTGTCCGGCCCTCATGATTGCAAATAGGGCTGTTTTCAAATGGAAATAGGACTTCCAAACTGATTATGTGTATTGAATCGGAATCACTCACTAGATCCTCTTGTTTAAAACGTATTGAAGAAGAGCGATGGTTGCCCAGTTCTGAAACCGGCTGCTTCTCATCTCGGGGAGGTCGATCTATTTTGCAACTTTTTGCCATTTAATAATGTTTCAGCAACATAATTACTCTGCCATTGTGGAAGGGCGATGCGGTGACATAAACACCCCCTCTCCCCGTACATCTACAAGCACTCAATTCCCGGCGCACACCTCCAGCCCCCTGCGCGGAGTCTCTCTGTGCCCATCCCGCGGCCCGCAGCCCCCACGCCCCGGGCTGCCCACGAGTGTCCGGCACATCACCGCCACTCTCGGCAGCCCGGGGAAGCAGGCACAAAACACTCTAGCCGCCAGTACCCCACGAGGAGGGAGATCCCGATGGCAGGAAGCGACCCCACCTGGCTCCCCCTGGGCTGCCTCACTCCCCTCGCCCTGACTTTCCCGTCCAGGAGCTGCCCCCCACCGACCCGAGCCAGGAAAACTAAAGTCGAGCTGGGGGCTGGGGGGGCCTCAGGGGCCAGAGTCTGGACTAGCTCTGGAGGGCGGGGGCTGTGGGGTCACCACAGCGGGCACTGCGACGGTGAGCACCAAGATGCCAGAGCTAGGAGCTGATATCCTGCCCTCCCACTACGTGCGCGATACCTTTCAGAAGCCACAAGTTCGTGCTGCCGCATCTCGTCCTTGAGCTTTTTTGGGGCTTACCACGGCACTTCCCTGCCGTTCCCCTGCTCGATGGGCTGTGTTATACGAGAGGCTGCCTTGCCCCTTCCTCCTGCCCCCGAGTTGCCCGGACCAGGAACCAGGGGCAGCCCTGGGCCGGCCCTGCGCCCATAGCCCCAGGGGCATCGCTCCGTGTGCCAGGGGATGGGGCCGCTGAGAACGGCCGGATCCCACGTCCAAAAAAGTAAGACGGAGACGAGCGCTGCCTGCGGGTGCGGGTTTTGTTCTCCCCGTCCGTGCAGCACCTGGGACCGCGGCAATTTGTGTCTTGCCTGGAAGAAAGCTGGGGCAAAAGACGTCCGCCGGGCAGAGGAGGGTGCGATGAGGCCTGTTACCGTTCCTTGAGCACCGCGAACGAACGGCGGCGAAAATTTGGTCCACTTGCTGCTTCCCCAGTGCCTGGCGGGGCCGGGTCCCGCCAGGCACTTCGGCTGAGCGAGCGCGGCACGGGTCGGAGGGCAGCGCTCGCTCCAAAGCGACAGTTCTGTGCCCCTGCTTCCCAACCCCAACCCCTATAAACACCCCCAGTGTTCGTGCAGCCATAGATAGCACCAGGACGTGGGCGCGCACATTCTGCCTAACCTCCCCGCGCTGGTCACCCACTGCTTCTACTCCTCTTTGCCACGAGCGAATGCGAAGATGAATGCTGCAGGAAGCTGCGTGAGCACCGTTCCTCAGAAGGGACAGTGTGGTGCGAGGCAGCGCGCAGGTTAAGAGCAAATTCCCAGAGTAATGAGGTGCGAGAGAGAAAGGTAGCATTCATTTGTAAGACCTTATCTGAGAAACAGCGGCAGAGACAACAAAAAGTTTAAGGAACAAAAGCACCGAGTGAATCTGCAGACGGACCGTGTCCCAGAGTAACGTTATTAGGTCACTAACACGCTGGGGTGAACTCAGCCACTTCAGCAACACCTCTGCTAAGAAGCAAAAAGTCGGTCCCCGCGAGTCCTCAGGTGTGCGCACGCCTGTCGCACATCATTACTTGCGTGAATTTACTCCATCGAGGAGAAGGACTGCGGTGAAATCCACCCAAACAGATGGAAGGGACGGTCTGAACCTCGCACTGCAACTACGTTACTTTTTTCTTTTTCTTTTTCGTTTTGTTTTTCTTTTCTTTCTATTTTTTTTTTTTCTTTTCCCTTTTATTTTCTGTTTGAACTACTGTGCTCCTGCACTTTATTCTCTTCCTTTGCACCGTCAGGAAACACCGACGAGCACCCGCCAGGAGACACTGGGAGTTCCCATCGAACAGACGCAATGGGTCGCACATGTTCGCCAAAATCGGCGGTGTACACTCACTCGCTAAAGAAGCGCAGCTTACAAACCGACATGAAATTACCGGGAACGTCCTGCTGTGTATAAGAAACACCTCCCAGAAAGCAGAACCACCGTATTCAGACTTAATTCTAGTGAAAGACCTGTGGCTGCCAGTGGAACCGACACAAGCAGTGTCAGTCACCTGCTAAATAATTTTAGAATAAACAGTTTTAGGTGTTTTTCTTTTCCTCTTTATTTTTATTATTATTTTTTTTTAAAGTTGTTTAAGCCAGTTAGGGACTGTCAGTTTCCCTTTTCTTGCATATATAATGCTTTCGGCCTTTTGTAAATGTCTGCTTCATAATGTAATTCTAAAAAAATACCAGTTTTTCCCATTCCCCCCTGCCACTACTAAAAAAACTTCAAATCGAAGATGAAATGTCCTAGGCAATGTTTGCATCTTTAGGATCCCCAAGACGTTTCCTGCACAGTGCGTTGTTTTAAGCATCGAAACGAATTCAGTTCCGTGTTACATAAATCCACCTTATTCGCCTTATTTATACAGCTGACCAGAGCCTTGAGAGACAGACATAGGATATAGAAAACTTTGACCTTACCTGCTCCCTATCGTGTTGCAGCCAGAAAAAAAAAAAAAAAAAAAAAAAAAAAAAAAAAAAAAAAAAAAAATTAAAAAAAAAAAAAAAGAAAGAAAGAAAATGACAATAAATCATTTCAATCATTTCGCGTTATTCACCCCTTTGCCAGAGATGGTTCTCTCTACCTCATAGCAACAGCCGCACTGGGACAAATCTCTGCATGCGTTTGATGAACACAAACAGTGTTACCATTACTTAGGGTTTGGAGATTGGCTTTTTCCACCCCCACCCCCCCCCCCCCGCCCGAAGGGGATCATGAGAGGAGCAGCGGTCAGACAGAAAAAAAGTATTGCTCAGCTTTGCTCCTGACATGGCCGTGGGAGGACCGCAGTCCTCCGAGACTCCCTCGGGCCGCAATCCGGGTTTCTATGCACCGCGGCCGGGGCTGGGGCCCCATGGGTCTCCGTACGTGCACTCTGCCACAGAAGTGCCAAAATATCTCCTCTCGCTCCGTGGCATCTTGTCCCGGAGTCATTTCGGAGCTGTCTCAGATTGCACTGCTCGGGACCCGCACTGGCGCGCTGTCTGTGGGCTCCGCGCTGCCGTCGGAACGCCGCGGGCAGGAAGGCGCTCCTAGCCCCGCTCCCAGCGTGGCCCGACCGACGGGCACGGCGCCGGCACCCAGCGCTGCCCGGGACTGCGGGGCACAGCAAACCCACGGCTGGCTGGGGAACAGCAAACGGGAAGGAGCCCTCTGCTATTGTCGTGGGGGCGGCGATAGGATTTGGGGCTTTTTGCCTTTTGTTTTCCGTAGGTTTTCTTTCCCTTCCCCCCCTTTCCTTTTTACTACGTGCATACTCCATGGCAATCAACCACGAACTCTTACTTACAACAGGAAAAAATGCCCTCGGCGGTTCTCCCCCGTTAAAGGGCAATGCCAGGAAATGGGCAGAGGCAGGGGAACGCCATTCCTCGCAGGGTCCCTCATCGCCCCTATAAAATGTCCTATAAAGGAGCGGTCACATTGGGAAAGGTGCATTTCTCCCATCAGTTCAGGTTTCAGTCTTGTCTCCTCACCATCCCATTATCCAAACTTCTCCTTGATTACCGAGGGACTGAAAGTCGGCGTACTCCGAGAAGTGAGTGTTCAGACGGAGGCACTGATTTTAATTTAGAAAGGCTGCACAGTGCCTTCGTCCCCGTGAGCGACCTCGAGGGAGAGCTGGGATTAAAAAAAAAAAAAAAAAAAAAAAAAAAAAAAAGAATACCACAAAAACACAACCAAGTATCTTCATCCTAATGAAGGCATAACCGCTTTATACAAATAAATTTATGATAAAAGCAATAACACAATGTCATTAAAAGCTATAAAATTGTTCAAGAGCAGTTTGTTTGCGTTTCTCCTGATTGATATGTAAATACAGTTTGAACTGTGTTTGCTCGGTCCCTAGTGCTTAATAAAGAGATGAATTCACCTTTCTGTGGAACAAGTAAACAGACTTTAAACTAAGCCGACATCAGACAAAGTGGAAACGAGTTTATTTAATCGAAACTAAATCTAGTTTAAGAAAGATAAGTCAGTGTACATAATAATCCATTACAGTAATTACACCCACCACCAAATATGTGTTTATAAGGTTGCCGAGACACAATAAAATTCATTTATTTCCCCCGAGATCAGTAATGAGAAGTCACCGGCTGGGTGTCTGCCTCACATGCCAGCCCCACCAGTTTTTTCCAGGGACGGAAGGAGGTATTTCTTGGCTCTTTTAAGGCCTTTCAGTGCTCCTCAGCTGTGAACGTCTGAAAGGATGCACATATTCATTACATCTGAAGGGGAAATGTCGACTTCAGCACAGCGGTGTCCACCTCGGCCTTGTGCGCTATCTTCGTCAGAATCACAGCATCGTTTAGGTTGGAAAAGACTGCCAAGATCATCTAGTCCAACCAAGCCCCGACTGAAGAATCAGCCGAGTGCCCCCCTGTCCCGCTCCCCTCACAACGCCGTGGCACCTCCGGGATCCCCAGCACCTTTCCCTTTGAGCAGAACTAGGGGCACCGAGGGGCTGAGTTTAATGCGTGTGTCCGAAAGGAATGTGGACTCGGTAGAGAAAGGGAGAAAAAAAAGAAAGAAAAAGGAATATTCTTTGGGTTAGTTGAAACTGCCCCTGTGCAAAGCGGGACGTAGTATAAAGAATGAAAGGTCCCGAAATTCCTGCTAACACACGTGATGTTCTCTAGTTAGAAATAAGGAGTGGGGTGGCGGGGGTGGGGGGTGGGGAGTGGGGATGGGGACGACGACGGGGGACGAGGGGGGCAGAAAGAATCCGATAATCTTTTAATTCATTCTGTCTATTTCCCTTATTCTCCATCCAAACCGGCACTTGGTGTCCGAGTAACGCCGGTTATCTTATATCAATAAAGGGCTTTCGAAAGCCGCTACTTAAGCTGGAGGTTGGTTTGTTTTCATTCCGGCAATCTGCTTGCTTTCTCCTCAAAAATATGAACGTTTCATAATACCTCTGTAATGCAGAAAGCTTTCAGTGACCGAGTAGCTTCCGTGGTTTAACCGGGGGGGTCTGGAGGGGAAAATAAAAATTAAAAAAAAAAAAAACAAAAAAACGCAACCGAGCAGCAAATGCAAAGGTACCATACTGAGAGAGCCTTCGGGATGGGGGGTTCTTTTGTTACACTCACAGAGGGGATATTTGGGACCCGAGACATTAAAAACGACATTAAATTCAGGATTGTCCAATATGAGCTGCTTCACAGGATATGATTCATATATTTACAACAGAGTTAATACCTAATTGCTTGCATTACCCATCGGATTTATCTTATAACTGAAGGCACCTCGGTTTCCCGGCCGGGCGCACACACGCACACACCCACGCCTTCTGCATCTGCTTCTTTACTCAATTCCCACAGAGCTACGAAAATAAAGAAGAAAACAAAAGGGGAATTAAAAAAAAAAGAAAGAGAGAGAGAGAGAGAGAGAGATAAAAAGAAAAAAAATAAAAGTAAACAGAAAAAGAAGAGAGAGGGAAAAAAAAAAAAAGTGGAAAAAAAAAAAAGGAAAAAAAAAAACCGAAAGCCCAACCTGTGCTACGCTGAGCCGCAGCCTGCCCTTAACCCCCCGCCTGGAGACTGGGGTTGGCGCTTGCGGGAGAGCTGCATGGCCGTCTGTCTGCCTGGGAGGTGTGTGCGGGTGGGAAATTCAGTACAGCCCTTCAAAGAAAGTTAATCCAAACTACGATTCGTACACAATAAACTATCTTTTTATTTGGAATATAAATAAGGTGACTGTACTTCCCTTAAAATACAAGTACATAGGAAAACCTGGTAGAGATTGTTCTTTTCCTTTCTTTTTTCTTTCTTTTTTTCTTTCTTTTTTTCTTTCTCTTTCTTTCTTTCTTTCTTTCTTTCTTTCTTTCTTTCTTTCTTTCTTTCTTTCTTTCTTTCTTTCTTTCTTTCTTTCTTTCTTTCTTTCTTTCTTTCTTTCTTTCTTTCTTTCTTTCTTTCTTTCTTTCTTTCTTTCTTTCTTTCTTTCTTTCTTTCTTTCTTTTTTATTTTATTTTTTAACAAGGTATTTAAATTGGACGCTCTTTAAAACGGCCGGACGTCCTACACTGCCAGAACGTTCGTCGTTAGTTTGTTTCTAGTGGCATCAGACTTCTCCCTTCTTTCTCCTCCGCGCCTTTGGCATTTGGCTCTCTCTTCCCGGAACACTTCACTTTCTCCAGCAAAAAGGACCGAGGCCCCTCCGCCTCCCGTAGCGGCCTGACCCCATCCCCTGCGGCGCCGGAGCTCCCACTCTCTCTCCGCGCGTTCAATCGGCGCTCGGCCCCGCGTTTCACCGCCTCCCGGCGCGGTTCCCCCGAGCGGGGGCGTCCCGGAGCCCGCAGCGTCCCGGTCCGGTTTCCATCCAACACAAAAATAGAGATGGGGGAAAGGAGGGTCTGGAGCGAGCCGAGAGGAAGTTTAAAAAAAATATATATGTATATTCGCAATGCGTATAATTTATTAGAAGCTTCTTATGAACTATATTTAAGCCAAATATCTACATAAGTTACAACAGGAAAAGGCGGCGTGCGCAAAGAACAAACTGTCGGAGAGTTTACGAGGGGACAATCAGTGTCCATAAAAAAGAGGGGTGGGGTTGGTTTGGTTGATTGTATTTTTTTTTTCTTTCTTTTTACAACAAAATATACAGGATGCTAAAAACTATGGGTTTAGTCCAACTTTTGACAGCATTATACAGCTACAGGTTCACATCAAACGTAAAAGAAAAGCCAAAGCCTCGTGTGGCCTCCCGGCCCCATCGCTGGGACGGGGCTGGGACCGGAGCCGGGGGTGGGGGAGGTTGCTCTGTGGCTGCGTACCGCGACCGCGTTTTTGGGAATAACCCCAACCCCATCCTCCCCAATCTCTATATTTACATGCAAGTCCTAGACGCTGGCAAAGGGTCCATCTGCAATCCGAGCCTTCGGGCCATGCCTACCGACGGGCCCCTGTCTGCAGAACGCTCCGTAGTTATTGGTCAGAATTGGTTTAACACCCCACACAGCAAGTTGGGGGGAAAAAGGAAAAAAGAAAGACCCAAAACTGTCACAGTATCAGTGAACGGAACAAGAAGTCACTCTCTTCCTCTCTCTCTTAGGGGTCCTCAGAGAACCAATCAGTAAAACGAAAAATAAAAATAAAAATAAAAATCTTTAAGGGGAAAAAAAGAAAGAAAGGAAGGAAGGAAGGAAGAAAGAAAAAATAATAAAAGAGCAAAGGAAAGCACCCAGTACTTTGGACAGGACACAGATTTGTGTGACTGGGAAAATCTGTTGGTGTTTTTTTTCTCTCTCTTTTTTTTTTTTTTTTTTTTTTTTTAATTTATTTTGTTTTGTTTTGTTTCGCTTTCTTTAATCCTTTCACCAGGTCCTACCGTATAGTAAGGTGGAGCAGGACATGGCAGTGCCATAGTCAGAAGTGGAAGAGTTCAGGTGAGACAAACTGGAGACTTGGCTCTGCAGGGAGGAAGGGCTGGCCGAGTGCTGTCCCATGTCGGGAGACTGCCCCGCACTGTTTGTCTGATGGCTCTGATGCTGTCCGAGGCTGTTGCCATTGGTGGCCACCGTGATGGTCGTGGCCGCCTGCTGCGGGTGGCTCTGGATGGCTGCGGTGGGGGTGTTGGAGCCCGCCTGGCAGGGCTTGCCATCCTTCACTAGCACCGGCACAGCCACCCTCCTGGGGG